ACTATCCAAACTATGATGGGAGACCTTCCCCCTAGATGTGTCAGTTTCTCCTCAAAGTACAAGGTATGATCAGAAAATACAGTAACCATTTACTTTTTAAAATTTTTTTTTTATTTTGAAAGTGGTAAAATACAACAGAACAAGACAGAACAAAGCCAATTGAGACTGTGTAGTGAAATTGGTACAGAACTTCACAGCAGGTTACCGGGATAACCATAATAGGTATCACAGTATATTTTGTTATCTTTATAATAGTTGTTCTTTCAATCACGTATATCAAAATAAAATGAAATACAGAACATTATAGAACTTATCAAAACAGAATATTGAATAGAGAATAAAGCAAATTAATCAGAATAAAGCAAAACAGTAATAAAAATATTTGCCTTCAAAGAGATGGTAGAAGGAAATCCCCCTTATCTGCTATGGTCAACCTCCCAAGAGATGCTCAGATTTCTGACTCCCATTTGCTAATGGGGGGACAGGGGAAAGGGGCTAGGAGAAGTGGGATGTGCACCGGTAGGCTCACCATTGCTTAGCAGGGAGGCAGGCTGGTTGCTTAGTTTCCCAGCGTAAGTTCCAAAATGGCATGGATTTCAGGAGACACTGATGGCTCTCCCCTGGAAGGGTGCAGACTGCCACACCACAGCCACTTACCAGGGAGGGGAGCTGACCATTTACATTTAAAATTATTGCAGTAAAAGACACATTGCCCTGCACCTCAATCAAAATGTTCCCCTTCGGCTAGAACACATGTATTCTGTTGTTCTGGAGACTTTGTGAAGCAGTTCTGCAGGTCCTCTTTCCTGAGTGTCTTCAGTGGCACTGCCCTGGCTGCCTTGGGGTCCCGAACTGATTCAGAACTTTTCCCTCTCGTGGTTGTTTTGAGTTTCAGGAAGATCCAGAATTGCCTGGTGCCAGATCTGGTGAATCGGGGGGGGGGGGGGGGCAGGACATGCTGCGATGTTTTCACGAGCCTGCTTCTCTGCGGGAGTGCATTTGGCAGCAGCATTCACTGTGTTTTTGATCACACCTTGTAAAGACACTCAGGAAAGAGTACTGCTTCAGAACGTGGCAAGGATGTTGGCTTAAGTGTGTTCTAACCGAGGAGGGGAATTTTGAGGGCATTCATGGCAATGTATTTCTTACCATCATAATTTTAAAAATTTTAACATTCACGGTATAGTCTGATCACACTTCATACAGCTCGGGACTGAGTGTCCTTGGTTACTTCTCTACTTATCACTTCCATCAGGACAAACTTTCCTTAAAGCAAATGGGTCTCCGAGGTCGGGATCCCATGAACTGTTTAAGGGTTGTGCCTCTGGGGTCAGCCTGTGCCCGGCGACAGGACAGTTGTTTCTCCCAAGGAGGCTCGCAGCTGAGGACCCACGGGGGCCAGGCGGCCCCTCTGCAGCGCTGGCTCAGGCCGGTCATCCCGCAGGCTCTCATGGGCTGCGTCAAGAGAGACACCAATTAAATCCATCCGTGTCTACCCAGTAATGCACTTCTGGACAGCAGTTAGAAAACTATGGGCTCGGACTTGCCTGTTCCTTCTGCACAAGTGCAGGATATTAAGGGCACTGGCTCCGTTCCATCAAGCGGGAGCAGGAATTGGTTATCACTGAAATAGATATGGATTTGCCTTCCCTGCCCACCACGCTTCTGCCAACAACACTACTTTTTGTGGACTTACTGGAAGCTCTGATGACCATTATGGTGGCCCATTTAACACATATGACACTTTTTTATGACCAAGGAATTCACACTACACAAAGAAAGGGAGGCCATATCAAAGAATGATTGTCTTTTCTGCTGCCCGGCCTGGGTCTGCATGAGCCTGAGACTCATTAAAAGCACGAGGTGCACTCCCACCGCACACCCTGCTGAAGCAGGCGTGTGTGATCCCGGGTGGCCGGAGAGCCCAGGTCACCAAGGGCATTAGCCACTTCCACTTCTTGCTCTTTGTGGAGCCATTGCTCCTGGCAAAATGCACATTTTTGGCACTCATTTGTGCTTTAGGCACTGTGGGGACAACTCCAGAGACTCCCTTTGAATCTAAAACAGTTACTGTGACTTTGATTATTTGGAGACTCATTTCTTTATACTGATATGTAAAAAACTGGCTAGAATATTTCCTTCTCTCTATAGCTCCTAATTGGATTATGTACATTAATCCTTCTGCATATCTTTATCTCTGCAATTTACAGAGATGTCAAACTTGCACCTGGCCAGCCAGCTCAAGTCACCATCCTCACTGTCACTCATCCCTGAGCCACCCCTTCTCTTCACAAGATAATAAATTCTGGGAGAGGCCTTTGTCCACATGTCCTTACAATGACTGGACTTAAGACCCCTCGGCTGCCCTTCACTTGGAATATGTCTTGGTGTCTTTACTCTCGCCATGGGTTGGATTGGTGGTGGTAGATTGGAATGATCTTGCCAGGATTCCAATGACATCTCAATGGGTTCACAAGTATAACCTTTGGGATTGTGAGGAAAACTAGAAAGAGGTTTACAGTACTTGGATGACCGAACTCCATGTTTGGGTTTACAAAGGCACATTAGCGTATCTATGCAGTTCTCACAACAACCTGTTTTCCACAGGACAGAATGAGGGTCAGAAGGGCTCGCACCCCCCACCTGCCCACTGCTTTGTGTCCCCCTTTTTCTGGACAGCTGAAGCAGGAAATTCGTGCACTGCCTTCCTGACTCTCCGCTGCCCTGTCTTCCTTCTACCCTGACTTCAGACTCATAGTAATAAGCCAGTTTTAAGGAACAGTGGAGAGGAAAAGGGGACCCTTATGAGGTGTCCACTCAACTTGGCCGAGTTCCCTACCCTTGTTTGGGTTTAGACAAGACTAAGGATAGAGATTTTGGCATGTACTACAAAAATACAGTAATTAAAATAGCATGGTATTGGCCCAGGGTAGATAGCTTATTAGTAGACTGGAATTGAGGGTCCAGAAATAAACCTATATATCTATGGTCAGTTGATTTTTTTTTTTTTTTGTTACCGGGGATCAAACTCACGACCTAGCACTTGCCAGGCAGGTGCTCATGTTGCCTAAACTAAAGCCCTAGCTCAGTTGATTTTTGGAAAGGTGTTCAAACCATGTAAATTAGAAAAAAATAATCTCTTCAACAAATGGTTCTGGGACAAATATTCCCATAAAAAGGTTAAAATTGGACATGTACCCCATACTGTATAAAATGTTAACTCAAAACAGATCAAAGACATAAGCATATGAACTAAAAATCATGAAACTCCTAGGAGAAAATAGGAGTATTTATGTTTAACGTTTCATGATCAATGAATTCTTAGACATGTCACCAAAAACACAAATAACAAAAAAAATCATAGACAAATTGAACTTGGTCAAAATTAAAAACTTGTGTACATCAAAGAGGGTTATCAAGAGAGTGAAAGAGACAACCTCCAAAATGGGAGAAAATATTTGCAAATCATGTCTCCCCAAGAGTCCCATACACAGAGTATACAAAGGACTGTTTGCTAAAAGTCCACAGCAAAAAGACAAACCAATTTAAAAAATGGGCAAGGGCTTTGAATAAGTGTTTGTCCAAGAAGACAAACACATTGTCTACAAGTATGTGAGAGTATCATTATCAATGAGCCATTAAAGAAACAAAAACTATGCTCCAGGCCCTGGGTTGGATCCCAGCACGGCAAACACAAAACAAAAACCCAAAACACCCAGAAAGAAATGCGGTCACAACCCCATGAAATAGCACTGTGTATCTACTCTGATGACTCTTAAAAAATGATTTAAAAAAATCTTGGCAAAATGTGGAGGAATGGGAGCCTTTGTACACTGATGGTGGATATGTCAGTGGTTCAACCGCTGTGTGATGGTGCACAAAAAAATTAAACACAGAGCACAGCTCATAGTAGGTGAAGCTTGGAAGCAGCCTGTATGCCCATCAGCAGAGGCATGGTAAAGAGAATGTGGGATTCATTCTACCCTGCCATAAAGAAGGAGAAATTTGAGTCATTTGTAAGAAAGTGGATACACTTTGAGACCATAATGTTAACTGAAATAGATACACAAGTTTAAATATCACATAGTTTCTCTTCTACGAGAAACCCAATGTATAAATGATAGAGCAAAATAAAGCAAATAAGGGATAGATAACAGGGAACAGGAAGAAAGATTTTCTGCAAACAGGAAGAAGATCTAAGAGCTGGAGGAGGGGGAAAAGAAGGGAAGGGAAGAGTTAAGATGTGCTATGTGCACGTACCAGCTCCCCATGACAAACGTAATGATATAAGTGTGGCAAACATGGACTCATAGAAATTTTAAAATTAAAATAAAAAAATGAAATAGAATTGCCGTGTAACTTAGCAGTATTATTTTCCCTCCAAATGAAAGCAAGTCTATGAACATTAGTGGCTGTGCTCGTGCCAAAGGACAAAAGGTGGACACACCACAAATGTCCCTCAGCAGCAGGGAGGAGACGCAAGCTGGGGACGCAGCCTCACCACGGCCCATCGCGCAGCCGCAAAGGGAGCAAAGCTCTGACACACACAGCCGTGAGCGGACCCCAGAAATACTGTGCTAAGCCAGAGAAAGCCGCACTCTGGAGACTCAGGCAGGAGGACTGCGAGTCTGAGTCCAATCTGGACTGAGTGACTTCTCAAGGCCCTGTCTCCAAATGCAAAATAAAAAGGGCAAATACCCTGGGCTCAGTTCCCAGGCCTGCCACACAAACAAACAAACAAACAAACAAACAAAGACATAGATAGATTTATGCTATGCCTGTGTGATTAAAAAAATACAGCCAGTGCCTAGAAATATTTATTACAGTAGGAGACACATTGCCGCGAATCCCCCTCAAAGTCCTCCCCCTCACTTCAAGCACATCCTGTCATTTTTGGCCATGTGTCTTTTATATAATAAGTTCTTCCTTTTCGATTTAAACATTCACCATATGTTTCGATCGCCCCTCGCCTATGGAGGTGAGAGGAAGCCGGCAGAGTTCCTGCTGGGCGGTGGGGAGAGAACCCGGCTAGCCAGCTCCCCTTAAAGCAGCCACTCCAGCTGATCCCCAGGACCCCCCTGAGCTGGGTGGGGCGGGGCTGCTCAGGCCTGGACTGCCCTTGGCCAGCACTGCCCGGCTCCCGGGAGTTAGCCTGACTGATTCTCTGAGGTCTCCGGGCTCCCTGGCTCCTCCTCCACCTGCCTGGCTGGCCTGCAAAGCCTGGCCCGGCTCCAGGGAGCTCCCAGTGCAAGTCTCCTGTGCAGCAGGAGCAGGCGGCCTGGCTGGGGTTGGGCACAACTTCAGTGGCCCCTGAGGACAAGCCACCTCTGATATGGCCACCCGGCACTGTGGATGCTGCAGGTCCAGCTCTCTGTCCCGTTAGCAGGACTGGAGTCCCTTTGGCATCGTCAAGAAAGGGCTTGGAACCCGCCAGAAGCATGGGTGAGTGAGAGGGCTGGAGAGCTCTGGGGACCTGCAGGGGGCAGGCTGTGACTCACTGGAGATGCGTGTGGGCAGCAGGGGTCTCTGTGGTAGACGACAGACCTGCAGCCGTTTTCTGGGGGTGCTGAAGGGGAGTGGTCTAGGGGCGCTTCTGATTGACTTCTCTTTGCTCTTCAGAGCTCAGTACCAAGCCCACCTCCTCTGGGAAGCCTTCCGAGGTCCCCCAGGCCACCCTTTTCCTGTGTTCACAAATCATCCCGCATTCCCTAGATAGCATTTGCTACCCTACATGGTAAATACCGACAGCCTTTTGGGACCCCCAACACCAGACTGAGGGCTCCACGTGGCTGAGGGGCTTCCTATCGGGTCTGCTTACCTCACATGGATGGGATCAGGGTTTGGGAGCCTGGTCAGGACCTGGAAAAGGGGACCAGTCCCATCTCCTACCTGGCAAGGGTTAGGGTCGTGTATGTATGTAAACACATGTGCACCCCCAAACACATATGCCTCCATACACACACACACACCCCTCAAGGAATGTTTGCTCTGCTCTCCAATTCTCACATGTCAGAACCGGGCAGCAACAGGCCGAGGAGTGGGCCCAGTGAACTCTGATGACCTCGGGTCCTTGCATCCTAGCGAGCTGGGGGTCTCTGCCCTGATCTTTCGGTGACGGTCCCCTGCAGATGTCCCCTGGCTGCCCCAGTGTCCCTCTTGGACCCTGCTTCTCATCCTCATTCACCCCCTTTTGCTTTCTTCTCTCCCGATTGGGACTTCCCCTGGTTGGGGAGTCCTGGTCCCTCATAGGGACCAGTGGCTCTGTTGACTTACTGCTGCTCAGAGCAGGGGGAGACCTGGAACCGGAAGCCAGAGAAGGGAGGCCAGCGAGCCCCATGCTCTGGCTGAAACTGGGTTTTCCTTTCCTCTTCTCTAAAGTCATCTGAAATGATATCGTACACAATCAGATATCTTACCCTGCAAGTGTTAATATCCTGCCCGCAGATCACAATGATCTGCATATGAGATTCCTGTCTCCCTGCTAGTGTAATTTCGGGACTTTATTATGCTGGAAGAGTGTCTGTCTCTTTCCCGACTTTGACAGTGACATTACAGAGCTGTCTCCTAGTGGTCTGGCCTTGGGGAGCTCTGCTTGCAATTTCCCTGGGCTGCAGCAATTAGGGGTGAAGGTGAGTGGAAAAGTGTTCACTGTGGCACAAACAGACACAGACCACATCTTAAATCTCTAGTTTGGGGTTGGGGGTGCCCAAGCCACTGGCAGATGCAGTGAGACACAGCCCTTTTAGCTCCAAAGCTCACAGGCCTAGGGGAGCAGAGAGACCTCCGGCATCCGCAATGTGCTGCTGAGACTGCCTGGGGGCTTAGGATGGCTGCAGGGCACAGGGAAGGGGGCCTTGCCTTGGGCTTGAAGGACTTCCTGTCCAGAGGTCCACACTGCGCTGCCAGGAGCGCTGTAAATCATCCTGGTGCTGGTCCGCCTGCACCCTCACCTCTGAAACCATTCCTCTCAAGCTCTGGGGAGACCAGAAGGTGGAAGCTAAGATGTCCTTCTGCGCTTCAGCCAGAGTCTCTAAGTCCACTGGCTTGAACCCTAAAGTTTCCGCCAGGCTGAGAGTCCCTGTGAGCCTCTGTGGCTGGGTCTGGGCACAGTGCTGATGCTACAAGGAACCGGAAGCTCTTGGGAAGCCAGGCGGGGGTGACATATGTGCAGCCAGCCCTGACTCTGCCTGGGAGAGGCTCAGGTGTGACTTGAGTCCCACCATGGGACATCATAGGTGTCTGCTGTCAGCGTTTCTGCTACGTGACATCTTTCCCAAAGATGTAACTTCGGGGATCCGAGTGGGACCCCCCCCCACCTGTTCTTACTGTGCCTGAGGAAGGGGGCTGGAACATTGCTCCAACTCGACTTGGGCGTATTTCCCGAAGCCGAGCTTGTTACCTGGGGCGGCTGCCATGCCTGGGTCTGGAGTGAGGTTTGCAGTTCCAGGTTCAGTGCACGGTCTCAGACGGGCTTCGCAGGTGCGGAAGTAGAGTGGGAACTCGGCCACACGGAGCACAGGAAAAGAGAAGAAAATCTAGGAATAGTTAGGAATGGCGTTGAAGGTGGGATCAGCGGCGGGATGTCCTTGGGGTAGATGTGACACGCGTTATTTTATGGCCAGCACGGTGACATGATTTCAAGGGAGGGAGCTTATTATCCAGAGGCATCAGTGAAAAGATCAATATCGTTTTAGTAGGCAGAGCCTCGATGTCACAAACTCTCACAGAGAGTGGATGGCCCTCTTCAAGCCCAACTTCTGGAAAAGTGCAAATATTTAAAGTGTAAACCACTCTGATTCAGCGAGTCTCGGTTTTTATGTAAAAAATTGGAGATTCTAGTGCATACCTGACACTGCAGGTAGAAGAATTTCATGACCTTTATCAAGCCTGTGTTTGCATCAGGTGGAAAACATCTTAGACATCGGCACCTGGGTCGCCCACCTGCCAGGGGACCCCACATCACCAGCTCCTCCCCGTGGTTCGGTTCCTCTGTCAGCCCTGATTGCTTGACTGTGGTCATGGTCCCCAGACCACCTGGACCCCAGCTCCTCAGTGCAACTGTGGGACTGCTTGTCCTCCTACATCACCCCCCAGCTTCCATGTACCAGACTGGTTTGGAGATCGGGGGCTAACCAAAGAAAGGGACCCCCAACAGAAAAGGTGGGCATTTAGACCACCATTGGCTCCTTCTTGTCCCCAAAGTCCTAGTGAAAATGAATTGAAACCCTTACAGAGGCCCAGTATGAACTTGATCTCGTGTGTGTGTGTGTGTGTGTGTGTGTGTGTGTGTGTGTGTTTGAATGAGTGTTACTTCCTGCCACTTAAAGTCAAATTTTGTCTAGAGATTTCCTTCTTGAATCGCTAACCCCCGCCAAGGCTTCTTGATGCGCTTCCCTCCCTAAGCAAAGCCTTCCCCATAGCCTGCACCCCAAGAAGGGCTCCCATGAAACAGTCTGGCCTGGGTGGTGACATCTGAGGTCCAATGGAAGGACACAGGATCTGCTCTCCAGGGCTAAGCCTTTTGAGATTGTGTCATGCAAGAAGCATACTCCGTCCCACAGCTGGTGGCTGTCCAGTCTTGTGGAGAGGACCCAGGACTTGTATCCCTTTGCATAGATGGTGCCTTCCTGTCCAGCATTCATGAAGAAAACTATTTCTCCAAATATTCAGAGCTGCCATGCTGGGCAAACCTCAGAGGGCTGAAGAACTCTGAACAGTGCTTCTTGCACTTTGTAAGGTCAGTGCAAAATAAGGATGGCATTTTTATTATTTTGCCAAGTCACAGGAGTCATGCTTTGCCCTGGCTTTTAGCTGTGTCCCTGAGTTGATTCGTCCAGGACCTGACAGGGATGTCACCTGTCCACCTTGACTGCTGAAGGTCTAGCACAGCCTCGGCATTACTGACTCTGTGCTTTGGGGCGCGGCACACTTCTGGGGTCCCTCTACCTTTCCCTTAGGGTAGAAGTGAGAGCTGAGCATTCACTCTTTCTGCATAAACTACACTGGGCCATGGAGGTCTGGAGACCTCAGCTAACAGCTGGGCAGGACCTTTGCCAGAGATTGGACTCCTTGTTCCCAGTCAATTCGGATTTGGCCTTTTTTTCTTCCTCTTCTTCAAGCTTCCTCCCCAGTGTCTTTCACTCCTCTGAGCTGGACTCCTGGGGTTGTCTGAGTCCCTGGAAGAAATGGCGGATCGCTGTGGCTGGTCTTTACCTCCTGCTTCTGCAGGACACCCGACCACTGGACACGTGGTGACCCAGCCTCTGTCCCCTCTGGCTCTCAGGCCGTGTCCTGCAGGAGGGACCCAGAGCTCAGTCACCCGAGCAGTGGTGACCATGATGGTGACATAAAGCATCCAGAAGGGAGGATTTGTGCTTCTGCCCGTCTTTTGGTGACAGTTAATGGAAATCAGCTTTTAACAAGGGTGGGGGGTCCCTGGGCAGTAGCATTTGGGCTCTCTAACTCACCCTAAGCTTGTAAGCTCAGCCTGACGAGGCTGTGTCCTCAGCGTGGGGCTCTGTGCGTGGAGCTGGGATGCAGGGGCTGCGGATGAGCTGCCAATTCATTTCCCCGGGGCCACAGCTTCTGTCCACATCACAGCCTTGGGGACTGATTTGTTTTATTACAGTTCACCGGTGCCACTGTTAACTGTGACGTCTCCTCTGGCCGTGAGATAAGGAAAGGAAGTTAGGCCTTTGAGCATCAAGGGATGGCCTTGCCGAGTGACAGTGGCCTGATTTAGGGAAGTGACACTGCTGCTCGAGGTGCGTGGCATGCAGCACTCCCTGCTGGGCTGCCTCTACCCTGAGCTGCTGGGCTGGGGCAGCCTGGTGCCTGAGGTCACGTGGGCAGAGCAAGGCCATCTGTCATGCTGTGTGGGAGCCATGTGTCACCTACAGGAGATTCACCTGCCTCTCCTGCTGCAGCATCAGCCAGTGGGTGGTGGGGAGACCTGGGACCAGTCCACCCCGGCTTGTATTTGGGGGCACCGGAGGTCCAGGATTCCTGTGCTCTGGGAACAAACCTCAGGAAGGGAACAAAGCTCTCATGCCTCTTGAGCCTGGCTCTGGCAGTCGACTGGTCATACCTTACCACGCGCTATTATATGGCACTGGTGGCCGCCCCTCACTTAGGAGGAGGACAGAGAAGGAAGAAGAGGAGGGGACATTGGAGGGAAGGGAGTTGGGGACATGGGGCACTGTCTCTGCGGCTTGCAAATCCTCGGAAGCCCTGAACCTCAGGGCCCGGAGCTGAGAACGGACTCAGGCTGGGGCGATTCAGGAGAGAAGAGCTCCAGCAGCTCCGGGCCACATCCGCGGGGCAGCGCTGTGAGGCCTGAGCAGAATGAGACCCGGGACTGCTCTGTCCTCACGCTGGGCTCGCGGGCACTTTGCCTGAGATTTGTACAATTCGCCCCACGCATGCGCAAAAGCCTTCTATGC